TGGGGGGGTGGGGGTGGTTTGAACTCAAGTCCTTGTGCTTGCATAACAGCTTTCACCCACTGAGCCATCTCCCCAGCTAATCCTGATAGAATTCTGAAACGCATATAGGGCTTTCTAACAGATTCTCCATAATCTTTAAGTTGCTTTGAAAGATCCTCCTGACCTCAGCTCTGTTCTCATGTAAAAACCCATGGCACCCACAGCCTGGAGTGTACGCAACTAAGAAACATCAAAAGATCCAGGAAGGAAAACAGAAATCCCAGAGCTTTCTGAATAGATCATTGCATGGAGCATGAGAACAAGAATGAAAGGTCTTGTGATTCTTGGCACAGAGAGACAAGATTAGTATGTCCTTGAGATGGTAGCATTTGCTGGTCATGAAGGCAAAGGGTTTTATTAAAAATGTCTTTCTTTTAAGCACAGTCTACTTTCTGTTCATTCAAGTGGCTGATTTCTTAAGTTTTATTTGTTCACTTATGTGTGTATTTACTTACTTTGGGTCATATTTTCTTCCTGCCTTATGTATTCATTTTGACCCATGGGAATGCATGAAATTCAGCAAATATCAGGTGTTTGTTGAGATCAACTTAGAACTTTGATCCAAGGGAAAGTGAAATGTAAGTCCTTTTCACCAACACCCAGATAGCGTTGTCATGTTTCAGTACCTTTTCAAAAGTCTCAAAGGAGAAGTCAGGGTCTTGCTTCCCGACACAGATTCTCAGGGGCACAAGTTTATACCAATTAAAGCAAAATAGTACATCCTGAGATGTAACTAAAAAGGTGTAGGTAACAATAATATAAGAAGCAGATGACCTAGTTTCTGCTTGCCTGTGCCACTACTAGCCCACTGTGTGGTGAAGTCACAAATGTTTCTACATTTCAGTTGCAATTGTCAAATGAGACAACAAACTGAGCCGTTCTTAGAAGGCAATACAATAAAAGACAATGTGCTTCTCTAAAGGCTAATGCGTACGAGGGGCTTTCTGTCATATGTGACTGGGATTTGCACACTGTGCTCTGTGATGTCAGCTCAGGTGTGGGCAAGGAAGACACACCACCCACCATCGCTGCTCCGGCAGCCATGTGACTGAATAGGAACAGGCAGATGTCCAAGTAGAGGATGAGAGGAATCAAAATCCCTTCTAAGTCACAGGCTAGGAACAGGCCAATCAGCAACAATGGGGGGGGGGGTTACAGCAAGGACCACCTACCAGCAGCAACTACAAAAGTTGATGCACTCTGTAGCCCAGTGGGAGCATTTATGCGCACAGAAAAGATGGAGGTTTACATGACATGCAGAATGCTGTAGCATCCTACATCTGTGGAAAATGACTAAGAAACATCTTCGATTAATGCACTGATTTGTAGAGGTTTTTTTTTTTTTTAACAACAGAACTTTGCCCCCCCCCCAAGGGTACTCTCATATGAAATCTAAAAACTTAACAGGGATAAGAAGTAAAGAGATTACAGTTCAAAGAAAGGAGCCCAGAGTGCTACAATCATTTCTTCCTCCTAAAAATGCTCACGGAACTGGAAGCACCAACATAAACAATGAAGACCTCAAGTATTCTACCCTGCCCCCCCCCCCCCCCCACCCC